CGCATGATGATGATGATGATGATGATGATGATAATGGCCAAGGACGTACAGGGCAGGATTCAGAGCGTTGATGACTGAGGGATGTTATTAGTTGACTCTTTCCAGCTTTTATTTGCATGTACTCTTATGGCACTCATTTTATTTTGTATGAACATGATTATCTTTATGTATCTTTTTTTTTTGGAAAATCTTCTTTTAACCCAAAGTTTTACTCCATTTTATTTTTAAACCCACATTCTTTCATTATGATCCATACACCCAAAATACAACACCCACTTATTTATAAACCCAAAGTATCAAATACATCATATTTGTATACTGTATACAAAAAATAAAAGATAAATTCGAAATTACACTGTTCTTCTTCTTCCTCCTCCCTAATAACTACTCATGGCTCAACTCACTCTTTCTAATTATCTCCATCCCTAATAACTGTTCTTCTTCTTCCTCCTCCCTAAATTCGAAAATACACTGTTCTTCTTCTTCCTCCTCCCTAATACACCATATTTTTCTGGTTCTCCTCCCACTCAAAAAAAAATCCTAAAAATTCAAGGGTTTTGATCTCTTGCAATGGCGTCCAATGTCAACTTACATGTTCTTCTTCGCTAGATCCTTCGTTGAAGGGGGCGGTGGCAGCGGCCCTAGGACCACCACGTCCACTCAAAGCCGACCAATAGAAAATGGTATGTTAACATTTTGAAATTTCTGGGTTTTTTGGCAATATCTTGTTAAAAATGTCTTGTTCTTATAAATTGATGGATTCTTATCAAGCTTATGCTTCAGGAAAGAGTATGTGCATAATAATTTTGCTCATATATATCTATGTTTTGGTGACTAGGTTGATGCATAGAAGGTGTTTGATGGAATGACAAAAGGGATATAGTTATTTGGACCACAACGATTAGCGGTTATGTCATATTGTTGTTGGTTGATGAGACAATAAAGGTGGTTGATGAAAGGTCCAAGAGAAGTTTGGTTTTATGGACCGCCATGATCTTAGCCCATCGGTATGCCATCCTACGCCCTCCGGTTGCTCCTCACCATTTTCTATTGTCGCCAACACCTAACGCAATGCACAGCTACCCCTCAATCAGAAACGATTCGTCAATGCATGTACACTAACTTTCCAATCAAATACATTAGAGAATCCTCCAGTCTTGGCATTCGATCAGATCTTAGCATTATTGTCACATTACAACCCAAACGGCAAATCAACTACATCCTGTAATATGATGTACCAAGTAGTATCGAATGTATCGTGTTGTATGGAATTTTCTATATTTTGTATATATAGATGATTTGTGTGTATATTGTATCAAATGCACTATCCAATGTATCATGCTACATCAAATTTCTATTAGAAATTTATCAGTATATCTAGTAGAAATGTATACAACGTTCCGATAGTGGTGATTTTGGATTATTTCCATTCAATCTTCATGGATTATTTTCATTCAATGTTATGTGCTTGAGTTTAGTGGTTGATAGATATGAATATCTGTAATGAATTGATATACTTTGCCAATAAGGTGCTATATTACAAAGTATAGCACCTTATGGGAAAGTATAACACATTTTGGCCAAAGTATAGCACTTTATTGGAAAAGTATAGCACATTATTGGCAAAGTATAGCACCTTATTGGCAAAGTATAGCACCTTATACTTTCTGGAAATTCTGCAGCTTAAGTGCCTAAAATCAAATCAGTTTTTTTCGCTGCGACGAAATCACTCGACGACCTACGTCACGTGTTATTGACTAATCATCCAACGCGACGGGGGGTCCTCGCGCAATTTTGAAGCTTCTGGGAAAAGTATAGCACCTTATGGGAAAGTATAGCACCTTTTGGCCAAAGTATAGCACTATATTACAAAGTATAGCACTTTATTGATAAAGTATAGCATCTTATTGGAAAAGTATAGCACCTTATACTTTCTGGAAATTATGCAGCTTAAGTGCCTAAAATCAAATCAGTTTTTTTCGCCGCGACGAAACCACTCGACGACCTACGTCACGTGTTATTGACCAATCATCCACTGCGACGGGTGGTCCTCGCGCAATTTTGAAGCTTCTGGGCAAAGTATAGCACCTTATGGGAAAGTATAGCACCTTTTGGCCAAAGTATAGCACTATATTACAAAGTATAGCACTTTATTGACAAAGTATAGCACCTTATTGGAAAAGTATAGCACCTTATACTTTCTGGAAATTCTGCAGCTTAAGAGCCTAAAATCAAATCAGTTTTTTTCGCCGCGATGAAACCACTCGACGACCTACGTCACGTGTTATTGACCAATCATCCACCGCGACAGGGGGTCCTCGCGCAATTTTGAAGCTTTTGGGCAAAGTATAGCACATTATGGAAAAGTATAGCACCTTTTGGCCAAAGTATAGCACTATATTGTAAAGTATAGAACTTTATTAGAAAAGTATAGCACCTTATTGGCAAAGTATAACACTTTATACTTTCTGGAAATTCTGCAGCTTAAGTGCCTAAAATTAAATCAGTTTTTTCCGCCGCGACGAAACCACTCGACGACCTACGTCACGTGTTATTGACCAATCATCCACCGCGACGGGGGGTCCTCGCGTAATTTTGAAGCTTCTGGGAAAAGTATAGCACCTTATGGGAAAGTATAGCACCTTTTGGCCAAATTATAGCACTATATTACAAAGTATAGCACTTTATTGACAAAGTATAGCACCTTATTAGAAAAGTATAGCACCTTATATTTTCTGGAAATTCTGCAGCTTAAGAGCCTAAAATCAAATCAGTTTTTTTCGCCGCGACGAAACCACTCGACGACCTACGTCACGTGTTTATTGACCAATCATCCACCGCGACGGGGGGGTCCTCGCGCAATTTTGAAGCTTCTGGGCAAAGTATAGCACCTTATGGGAAAGTATAGTACCTTTTGGCCAAATTATAGCACTATATTACAAAGTATAGCACTTTATTGAAAAAGTATAGCACCTTATTGGCAAAGTATAGCACCTTATTAGCAAAGTATATCACCTTAAGATACAAAATTTCCAGAGAGCATAAGGTGCTATATTTTACCAATAAGGTGCTATACTTTGCCAATAAAGTGCTATACTTTGCCATATAGTGCTATACTTTGGCCATAATGTGCTATACTTTCTCATAAAGTGCTATACTTTGCCAAAAGCTTCAAAATTGCGTGAGGACCCCTCATCGCGGTTGATGATTGGTCAATAAACACGTAACGTAGGTCATCGAGTGTTTGTGTTGCCGTGAAAAAAACTGATTTGGTTTTAGACAACTTAAGGTGCAGAATTTTTAGAGAGCATAAGGTGCTATACTTTGTCAATAAGGTGCTATACTTTGTTAATAAAGTGCTATACTTTGTCATATAGTGTTATACTTTGGCTATAAGGTGCTATACTTTCCCATAAAGTGTTATACTTTGTCAAAAGCTTTAAAATTGAGCGAGGACCCCTCGTCGAGGTGGATAATTGGTCACGCGACACATAGCATAGGTCATTGAGTGTTTGCATGGCCCTAACAAAACTGATTTGGTTTATCGCAACGCAATAAGTTGCTGAATTTCCAAAGACTATAAGGTACTATACTTTATCGATAAGGTGCTATACTATTGCCATAAGGTGCTATACTTTGCCATAAGGTGCTATACTTCATCAATAAGCTGCTATACTTTCTTATAAAATGCTATACTTTATCAAAAGCTGGAAAATTGAACGAGGACCCCTCGTCGAGGTGGATAATTGGACACACGAAACATAATATGGCCCAATAGGCTGTTGTTACCACAACCTACCATCAAAACTTCTTCAGTTCAATCAGTGCATCAATTTATTACAGATATTCATATCTATCAACCACTAAACTCAAGCACATAACATTGAATGAAAATAAATCGAATGCAAAGAGTAGAGGATTCTCTC